GGGTCCAGTCATAATATTTTGGTTAATTTAGTAAATTCAATAAATAATTCAGTAAATTAAAAATAAGCTTAAAAAGATCAGAGCACTTACTCAGAATGGAAGAAGTCCTCTATGAACTGTAAAGTACTACATAAACGGCAATCGTCATTTTTAGAAAAATGGCTCAGGGCTGAGAAAGCAGCTGAGCAGTAGGGTGCTTATCTAGCATGTGCAAGGCCCTGGGTTTAATTCACCACACCACAGACACAAAAATTAAAACTGTTCAAAAATGTAGTTCTTCAGTGTTGAGATTCTGAAAAATCCAATAAACATTTATCCTGTTCAACACTGTCAATGTAAAATGCAACTTTTACATTACACAAATAGGTGATCTGTGTAATGTAAAAAGCTCCTTGATACTTTATTTTATCCTCTTTTTCTTCTTTTTTTTAAATTGTTGTTTGTTTGGATACTGAACGAGGGGTACTCTATTACTGAGGTACATCCCTAGCCCTTTATTTATTTATTTATTTATTTATTTATTTACTTACTTACTTACTTGCTTATTTTTAATTTTGAAAAAGGGTCTCACTAAATTGCTGAGGTTGGCTTTGAATTTGTAATCCTCCTGCCTCAGCCCTCCAGATTAGCTGGGATTATACATACGTATAAGCTACAAATCACAACACAATCAATGCTCAAGAATAAACCATTAGGCTTAAAAATGAAACCACAGTTCTACCTATCATTTCCTAAGTATTTCTGACCTACCTCCTCCCCTCATCTGGAGCTGCTGGCCTACAGAAGGAAACTTAAACTCATTAGCACAAGATACACACAGGGCTAGGTAATGCCTTCATCTTACATGGCTGCATGGAATACTGTGATGAGGGCTGGAAGCCTGTAGTGGTAGCAGAGAATACGGTGACAATATGTGCTTGAATCCTGCCAATGCCTTCAGTTTCATCTACTTTCTGAAAATCTATTTTGTTCCAGGTACCACGCAATGGAAATACTTGAACATCTTGATGTTTCAGGCTTTTGCATCCTCTGTTAATAGGTAACACTCCATTTGGCTTGAATGCTCTCCCTATCTTTGTGTTCTTTTCTGGATGATTACACATCCTTCAGGTCCATGAGCACAGCAGATCACATTTTTCTATTATCTTCTAGCATCTCTATCATAAAAATTACCTGGCTTCAGTTCCCTATTTATATCTGTTTCTTCCACTAGATAGAACCACTAGAAGGCAGGGATAATGTTCATCTAGCTTTATATTCCCAATGTATATAGTGGGTACTTAAATATTTTTTGAAGGCAGGGATAAATATCAAATAATCAGCAAAATGTTTTAACTATATCATGCAAATTTCTTTCAAGTTTAATTTATAAATTTATAAAGAACAAAAGAAAGGAAGAAAATCACTAAGAAAAGTTGTTGAAGGGAAAGAGGATAAGACACAACAGGAGGAGGGGCTGGGGATGAGGCTCAGTGGTAGAATGCCTGGCATTGGCATGCATAAGGCCCTGGGTTTAATTCCCAGAATTGCCAAAAAAAACCCAAAACAAAATAAAAACAAGAAGGGAAATGCTTCAGGAAGATTTTAAAAATATACATAGCACAATAACATTTCATAGGATAAAATTGGTCTGAGGCTTATTAATATTCTTAGGTTTCATTTCACTGTCTCTTTAGAACATAATAAAAATTACTTACTGGTTGTAAAGCTCTGGGTATCTGACTAAGTTCTGAATGAACTCATTCAGTCCTGCTCTCCTTTGTTTAATAAAATCTGTAAGAGGAATATAAACTATTAGGATTATTTATGTTAGCCTATGTAATTATCATCAAAACATTCATATAAGAATAAGCAAGCACAAGATGATAAATTGTGATTCATAATCTATTTCTTAATTCATCCTACTTGGTTTACAAGGAGGAACTAATTCTTAAAATATATGTGTGTGTATATGAAGTCTATATGCAATGATTTAAGAATCGGAATAAAGCAAATACATCTCTCAAAAGAACATCATCAAGAACTGCCTATTTTAGATTCTAAATAGAGTCACTATAAAACGTGGAGAGACACTTTGCTTTTTGTCCAACTCCTTATGAACCACCATGAAATTAGTAAAAATAAGCTATGACATAGATAACTGCAAATCACACTAAAAAAAGCAAATAAAAAATAAGGATTACTAAAAATCCTTTAAGGCAGGGTAATGATAATTAATTGGTTAATAGAATATTACCAAACCACTGACTTAATTCCTGCTGTTAAAAATCCCTTGAAAAATATACTGGTGTGCTTTCCTAACAAATAATTGTCCAGTATCTACAGTGTTTTGTATGTTGATAAACTGTACTGATGGTTGCATTAACCTCAGTTATCAATAAATGTTAAGCACAAGTGTTTCTTGGAACTAGAAAACTTTATTCAAATATCTTGTCTCTGTTACTTACTGACCTTGAACTTTTTCTTTTTTCTTTTTTTTTTGGCATGGGAATATATTCATTATATATTACAAAGTGAAAATAACAAGTTGCATAGATACCTTTTGTGTACATTTATACATGACCATAACACGATGCAAAGCAAAACGTCTGAACCATGATACACCAAAGAGAAAGAGTGAGTCTCTAATTGAATTATTTATCTCGTGTACTGGCAACTTCTCCTTTTCACAAAGGAGAATATATGTTTTTGTGTATATTACTTGTGTTATACACTCAAAAAATCCTAAAATAGACACTTGAAGTCAAGCATGCAACACAGCACCTGGTATGGAGCCAGGCCTCAGTACACATTCACAATTATCTGGAAGGCTTGTGCTCTCTCTTCTCTCCAGTTGTGGTGGTATGATTTTTGTGCTGATCTACCCACACTGGTCCTGAACCATCTTGACCACTCAGGTAGAGATTATAGGTGTGGTCCATGGCATAGAATAAAGTGACACTTTCTAGAAAAATCCAGTGAGTCACATGGCATTGATGCCTAAACATCAAAACTATGTAAAAGTCAAGAGTTTTCCCTGCTGTCCTTGAGTGGCTGATACCACCCTCCTTTCTCTCTAAGCTACCTCATCTTCTACTGATTTTTTTTTTGCATTACCAGGGAATGTACACAGTGGTGCTCTACCACTGAGCTCCATCCCCAGCCTTTATTATTTTATTTTTAATTTTGAGACATTGTCTTGATAAGTTACGTAGTTGGCCTCAAATGTATGGTCCTTCTGTCTTAGCCTTCTGAGTCACTGGGATTACAGGCATGCACCACTGTGCCTGACTTCTACTGATCATTTTGAGGTTATTGTATTAACTTCCTTCTTGTCTATCTCAAAGTCTTTTTTGGTGTTTTTACCTTCTCTTTTTTTCTCTTGTCCCCAAACAAGCAGTTCTCTTCCTGTTTAAATCATCAAATTCCTCTTCCATGTTTTTTTTTCCATTTTTTTATTAGTTGCTTTTTCGAGACCTAACTCTTTACTTACAAAATAGGATAATAACAATATTTATACCTTGTAAAACAGTTACAAAAGAGAAATGCATGCAGATTTATACAATACCCAGCAGATAAGAGAGAGCTATCATTAGCCATTAACATATTATTATTAGTTGTTGTAGGGTCAAAAAATCATCCTAAACCCTAATTATTAAAAAAAAAAGTCTTAAAAACTGAAGACATAGGCTATTTGAAAAAGCATCTCTTAATGGTGAATATCTAGATAAAAACATACACAAAACTATTTAAAGTCAGTAATGAAATAAAAATTCTAGCAGCACTTAGTACAGCATGGTCTATAATTCAGAGAGGAAAGGAAATTCCTATTTTTATTCTTGTCTCCAAAGTAAAATATATCTTTCCTAAGTATCCACAGAATAATTTAAAACTGCTCTGTATAATCATTAGATTTTTTAATATTACAAATGAAGTTATTCATTTTAGTCTTCCTTATATATTACTAAATCCAGTTCCTGAGAAATGTCTTTGAACTACAGTTTTTTAAATTTATATTTTATTTTTTTGTGTTTCTGGGCATTGAACTCAAGGTCCTCACATATGGTAGGCAATTGTTCTGCCACTAAGCTACCCAACCCTCAAGTACAGTTTTTAATGTAAGCCTCACATATACTTTAATGTTTGATGACTTTTTAAAAAATGACCTTGGAAGAGTTTCACAAGATGCCTACCTTGTTCAAAAATTGCAAAAGTATATCTGAATCTAAGAAACCTAATTTTATATATTTTTAATAACTATACCGTATATCTAACAAGTGGGGAGAAAACCCTTTGACTGGAAATAACCCATAATTTTAGTGACAAACACTATATATTAAGACCTTTATTGAGTATAAATCAGTAACTAGCCCCGTTATGTTAAGTAGAATATTATTTATATTTTTTTGTGTGCGTGTATGTGGTGCTGGGGCTCAAACCCAGGGCCTTGTGCACGTGAGGCAAGCGCTCTACCAACTGAGCTATATCCCCAGCCCTCAAACTTAATTTTTAAGCTAAAATTACGCATGCAAATATCTGAAAATAACTCCAAGTCATGCACCCATCATAGGATGAGTACTAGGAATATATATAAAGTTGATATATTATCTATTTTTTTACATTTTTAATTTTACTTTGTATTCTAATTTGTTATATATGACAGCAGAATGCATTACAATTAATGTTACACATATAGAGCCCAATTTTTCATATCTCAGGTTGTACACAAAGTATGTTCACACCATTCATGTTTTCGCACATGTACTTATGATAATGGTGTCCATCTCATTCCACCATCTTTTTTACACCCCTTGCCCACTCCCTTTCTCTCCCTCCCCTTTGCCTATCTAGAGTTCATCTAATTTTCCCATGCTTCCCTTCCCAATCCCACTATGAATCAACCTCCTTATATCAGAGAAAACATTCAGCATTTGGTTTTTTGGGATTCACTAACTTCACTTGGCATTATCTTCTCCAACTCTATCCATTTACCTGCAAATTGCATGATTTTATTCTATTTTATTGCCTGAGTAATGTTCCGTTGTATATATGTACCACAGTTTCTTTATCCATTCATCTACTGAAGGGCATCTAGGTTGGTTCCACAGTTTAGCTATTGTGAATCATGCTGCCATAAACATTGATGCGGCTGTGTCCCTGTAGTATGCTGTTTTTAAGTCCTTTGGGTATAAACCGAGGAGTGGGATAGCTGGGTCAAATGGTGGTTCCATTCCAAGTTTTCCAGGAATCTCCATACTGCTTTCCAGATGGATGCACCAATTTGCAGTCCCACCAGCAATGTCTGAGTGTGCCTTTTTCCCCACATCCTCGCCAACACTTATTGTTATTTATATTCTTAATAGCTGCCATTCTGACTGGAGATAAAATCTTACAGATGTTTTGATTTGCATTTCTCTAATAGCTAGAGATGTTGGAAATTTTTTCATATATTTTTTGATTGACTATATATCACCTTCTGAGAAGTGTCTCTTCAGTTCCTCGGTTCATTTATTAATTGGGTTATTTGTTATTTTGGTGTTTAGCTTTTTGAGTTCTTTATATTCTTGAGAGATTAGTGCTCTAATGTTCAAGTGGTAAAAATCTGCTCCCAAGCTGTAGGCTCTCTAGTCACTTCACTGATTTTTTTTTTTTTTTTGCTGAAAAGAAACTCTTCAGTTTGAATACATCCAGTTCATTCTTTTTAAAAAAATTTTTTAGTTGTAGATGAACACAATACCTTTATTTATTTTTATGTGGTGTTGAGGATTAAACCCAGTACCTCATACAAGCGAAGCAAGCACTCTGCTACTGAGCCACAATCCCAGCTCCATTTATTAATTCTTGATTTTAAAATCTTGTGCTATAGTAGTCTTATTAAGGAAGTAGGGGCCTAATCTGATATGATAGAGATTAGGGGCTATTTTTTCTTCTATTAGACACAGAAGTCTCTGGTTTAATTCCTAGGTCCTTGATCCATTTTGAGTTGAGTTTTGTGTATGGTGAGAGGGGTTTAATTTCATTTTGTTGCATATGGATTTCTGGTTCTCCCAGCACCATTTGTTGAAGAGGCAATCTTTTCTCCAATGTATGTTTTTGGCACCTTTATCTAAAATAACTGTATTTATGTGGGTTGATCTCTGTGTCCTCTGTTCTGTACCATTGGACTACCAGTCTATTCTGGTGCCAATGTCATGCTGGTTTTGTTATTATTGCTCTGTAGCATAGCTTCAGGTCTGGTATAGTCTCTTATTTTTCTAGATGGATTTCATGACTGCTTTTCCTGTTTCTATGAGGAATGTCATTGGGATTTTGATTGGAATGCATTAAATCTGTGTAGTGCTTTTGGTAGTATGGTCATTTTGACAATATTAATTCTGCATATACAAGAGCAAGGGAGATATTTCCATCTTCTAAGGTATTCTTTAATTTCTTTCTTTGGTGTTCTGAAGTTTTCGTTGTAGAGGTCTTTCATCTGTTTTGTTAGATTGATTCCCAAGGATTTTTTTTTTTTGAGGCTTGTAAATGGGGTAGTTTTCCTCATTTCATTTTCAAAGGATTTGTCACTGATATACAGAAATGCCTTTGATTTATCAACATTGATTTTGTATCCTGCTACTTTGCTGAATTCATTTACTAGTTCTAGAAGTTTTATGGTGAAATTTTTTTGGGGTCTTCTAGGTATAGAATCATATCATCAACAAATAGTGATACTTTAAGCTCTTCTTTACCTATATGTATCCTTTAATTTCTTTCATCTGTCTAATTGCTCTGGCCAGTTTCAAGAACTGTTAAATAGAAGTGATGAAAGAGGGCATTCCTATTCCAGTTTTTAGAGGGAATGCTTTCAATTTTTCTCCATTTAGAATGATGTTGTCCTGGAGCTTAGCATAGACAGCTTTTACAATGTTGAGATATATTCCTGTTATCCCTAGTTTTTCTAGTGTTTTGAACATAAAAGGGTGCTGTATTTTGTTGAATGCTTTTTCTGTGTCTATTGAGATGATCATATGATTCTTACCTTTAAGTCTATTGATGTGATGAATTACATTTATTGATTTCCTTATGTTGAACCAACCTTGCATCCCTGGGATGAACCCCACTTGATCATAGTGCACATCTTTTTGATGTTTTTGTATTCGATTTGCCAGAATTTTATTGAGAATTTTTGCATCTATGTTTATTAGAGATATTGGTCTGAAGTTTTCTTTCTTTGATGTGTCTTTGTCTGGTTTTGGAATCAGGGTGACAATGGCCTCATAGAATGAGTTTGGAAGTGCTCCCTCTTTTTCTATTTCCTAAATTGAAGAGTATTGGTGTTAGTTTTTCTTTTAAAGGTCTTGTAGTACTCGGCTGTATAACCATTTGGGGCTGAGCTTTTTCTTGGTTGGTAGGTTTCCTATGGTATCTTGTATTTCCTCACTTGAAATTGACTTGTTTAAATTGTGTGTAACATCCTGATTCAATCTGAACAAATCATATGACTCTATAAATTTGTCAATGCCTTCGATATTTTCTATTTTATTGGAGTACAAGTTTTCAAAAAGAATTTCTAATTATTTTCTGTATTTTTGAAGTGTATGTTTTGATATTTCCTTTTTCATCACCTAAGTTAGTGATCTTAGTTTTCTCTCTCCTTCTCTTTGTTTGCATGGCTAAGGGTCTGTCAATTTTACTTATTTTTTTTAAAGAACTAACTTCTGTTTTGTTATTTTTTTCAAATGTTTCTTTTGTTTCAATTTTATTGATTTCAGCTCTGATTTTAATTATTTCCTGTCTTCTACTGCTTTTGGTGTTGATTTGTTCTTTTTCTAGGGTTTTGAGAGGTAATGTTAAGTCATTTATTTGACTTTTTCCTCTTTTAAGGAATGAACTCCATGCAATACACTTTCCACTTAGTACTGCCTTCATAGTATTCCAGAGATTTCAATATGTTGTATCTGTGTTCTCATTCATCTCCAAGAATCTTTTAATCTCCTCTTGATGTCTTTTCCAACCATTGTTCATTCAGTAGCATATTATTTATCTCCAGGTGTTAGAGTTGCTTTTATTTTTCATTTTATCATTGATTTCTAATTTCATTCCATTAAGATCTGATAGAATGCAGAGTAATATCTCTACTTTTTTTATATTTGCTAGGAATTGCTTTGTGGCATAAGATATGGTCTATTTTAGAGAAGGATTCATGTGCTGCTGAGAAGAAAGAATATCTGTTCACTGAAGGATGAGTTATTCTATATATGTCAGTTAAGTCTAAGTTATTAAGTTCTATAGTTTCTTTGTTCAGCTTTTGTTTGGTTGATCTATCCAGTGGTGAAAGAGGTGTGCTAAAGTCACCCAGAATTATGTGTTGTGGTCTATTTGACTCTTGAACCTGAGAAGAGTATGTCTGATGAACTTAATTGCTCCATGGGGCATATAAATTTATTATTGTTATGTCTTGTTGATGAATCGTTCCCTTAAGCAGTATGAAATATCCTTCTTTAACCCTTTGATTAACTTTGCCTGAAGTCTACTTTAATATGAGGATGGAAACCAGTTTGATTCCGCAGTCCATGTAAGTGTTATTACTTTCCCCAACCTTTTACCTTCAGTCTGTGGATGCCTTTTCCTATGAGATGAGTCTCTTGGCAGCAGCATATTTTTTAATCCAATCTGCCAGTCTATGTCTTTTGATTGGTGAGTTTAGGCCATTAACATTCAGTGTTATTATTGAGACATGAATTGCATTTCCAGCCATTTTTATTTATTTTTCATATTTAACTTATCTTGGTTTCTCCTTTGATTAGTTTTTCCTTTAGTGTAATACCTTCCTTTGTTGATTTTCATTGTTGTTTTCAATTCCTCTTCATGAAATATTTTGCTGAGGATGTTCTGTAGTGCAGACTTTCAAGTTGTAAAATCTTTTAACTTCTGTTTATCATGGTTGACATCCATTTTCTTTCAGAGCTCGATATATGTTGTTCTAGGATCTTCTAGCTTTTAGGGTCTGGGTTGAAAAATCTGCACATATTCTAATTGGTTCCCCCTATATGTAATCTGATTCCTTTCTCTCATGGCTTTAAATATTCTCTCCTTATTCTGTATTTAGACATTTTCATTATAATGTGCCTTGGTGTGGATCTGTTGTATTTTGCACATTTGGCATCCTGTAAGCGTCTTAAATTTGGTTTCTTCATGTTTGGAAATTTTTGATAATATTTTATTGAATAGATTGCTCATTCCTTTGGTTTGGAACTCTATTCCTTCCTCTATTCCAATAATTCTTAAATTTGGTCTTTTTATGCTATCCTATATTTCTTGAATGTTCTTATCATTTTCACTATGTGGTCCGCATTCTTTTCAATATTATATATTTTGTCTTCATTGTCTAAGGTCCCGTCTTCCAAGTGGTCTAATCTGTTGGTAATGCATTCAATTGAACTTTTTGTTTTATTGTTTCATTCATTTCAAGGATTTCTGGTTTTTTTTTTAACCTCTATCTCCCTATTAATCTTTTGCTTCCTGTATTTGTTTATGTAGCTCTTGTCAAAATGATCTTTTGCTGCCTGTATTTGCTATCTTATATCATCCTTTAATTCGCAAAACATTTTAATTATGTACATCCTGAACTCCTTCTGTGTAATTTCTTCTGCTGTGCTTGCCATGGATCCTAAAAATGTAGTATCTTGATTTGTTTGGGGCACTTTCTTCCCTTTTCATATTGCTTGTGTGTCTTCCCTTCTAGTACTGTATATACTGGGCATTACTGTTTTTACCCTTAGGCTTATAGTGCCCCTGTCAGGATCCAATACCTCTCCTTTGAGGTGAAGTACAATGGCATCAGATCCCAATGTAAACAATATACACCCTAAAAACAAATGTTTGCTAATAAGACATGTACAGTTTGGTCACTTTGTACAGAAATGGTGAATTCAATTATTATCTGTCAGCAGATTTGTAGAAGGGTTTACAGATTCTGATGGTAGGCAAAGAACTGGGAGTGAGGAGGAAGATGATATGCTAAGGAGGTAGGAGGTGCTGATATACAGTTGTTATAGCTTAGGAAGTGTGAAAGGGAAATCTAAAGAAGATTAGTAGCAGGAAAAGGGAGCAGAAGTAAATTTGAGTAAACAAATAAGTGGGAAGACAGTAGAGTATAAACACACATATATATCAAGAAAAATAAAAAATGTTAAAATAGCAGAAATTGGTGGGAAAAAAAATAAAAATAAAAAAGAATGTACAACACAACTGTAATATACTATTCAAATGTCCCAGTCCTCAAAATCCTAATTCATGCAAAGCACTTGGTTTCACATTTGTTGGGGATGTGAGGGTGGGAGAAAAAAGAGAGGAAAAGAAAAAAGTAATCTTGAAAGAATAAAGGGTTGTTTTGGTTGGAGATCAATATCTTTCTTGCTTCCCTTCTGGTCCTATAGATGGAGTTGTCTGTTGTTAGCTGGTATCTACACCTTCAGGATGGTGAAGAGTGTCACTGTGCCAGGTTAGTGGATGCTAGAGAGAGGGGCGTGTTAGAAACTGGGTACCTGAAGATGATGATAAAGATGACCCAAGATGGAGGCTCCTGCTTTCAGTAGTAGGATGCCGGGTCAGGTCAGGGGAACCAGGCGATGGTGTTGGATGATGAGTTCAGCCACAAGCTTTGTGGCTTGCTGTGTTGGCTGACTTCAGAGCCTGTGTGAAGTTCCTGGGTGCAGGCAGGTTACTGTCTATAGGGGACTATATCCGCTGCTGCACAGGCCCAAGATGGTAGCCACCAGGGGAGCCCCACATTGGTAGATGGGGGTCCACAGGGGTGGCGGCCAGATTTCCTACTCATGGGAAGCTACTGGGTGTTCTCCTTGGGAGCACATCCATGATTTCTGCTCGGGTGGGTGGCCAAAAGTTCTTTGAGGGTGCTGCTGCAGCTGCTGATGGTCTCGCTTGGGCGGTAGTTCTGCGTGAATGAGTAGTTGGGAGACCTACTCTGAGGCTGAGGCCTGGAGCCCTGGACAGGCATGGTGCTTCCTATGCAGGGGTCAGGAATATTGTTCGCAGAGAAGCTGTATTCTAAGTACTTGAATCCCAGGTCATGGTGCAACACAGAATGCTGCCTCCCTCTGGCCTGCCATCTTGGACCCCCTCCTCAACATATTATCTTTAAGAACTATAGTTGGAGATATGTACAAAATTTTTTTTTCCAATTGAGACCTTATATGAATATATATTTTAAAAGATGCAGAGAAGGTTAAAATTGATAATTGAAAAGTGGTTTCTACAAGAGCTGTTGAAGGCAAGGATTTGAAAAATCTTGCTGGGGGCTGGGGATGTGGCTCAAGCGGTAGCGCGCTCGCCTGGCATGCGTGCGGCCCGGGTTTGATCCTCAGCACCACATACCAACAAAGATGTTGTGTCTGCCGAGAACTAGAAAATAAATATTAAAAAAAAAAAAAAAGAAAAATCTTGCTGGGTGGAGTGGTGCACACCTATAAATTCAAGCTACCAGGAGTCTGAGGCAGGAGGATTGCAAGTTCAAGGCCAGCCTCAGCAAGTTAGTGAGTCTTTGTCTCAAAATAAAATTTTAAAAGGACTGATATGTTGCTCAGTGATAGAGTACCTGTGGGTTCAATCCCCAGTGCTCCAAAAAACAAAAACAAAAACAAAAAGCAAACCAAAAAACCCTTATTATCTTTAGTCCTCAACATAGTACCTTGGAAGGTACTTAATAGACACTTAAAAAAAAAAAGTCTTAGAAAATGTTGTTATTGCATTTTTATGTTTGCTTTTAAATTGTTTAAAATGTATACATGGTTCCAAAGTCAAAGACATAAACAAGATGAGACATTTAACTTCCACCCCTGTTGCCTCCTCTGATCTTATCCCTCCTCAAAATCACTGGTTTTATTATTTTGATTTCTGCATTATTTCTTTTCAAATACCCACACTTTTTCATACACAAAAAATACACACTACACAAATTCAAATGCACCTTTTCCCCCACCTTAATATTTTGGAGGTCACTCCATAGCAATGTAGCTTTTTTACAGCTACATTGCATTGTAGACTTGAAAGTATATTTCAATTGATTTCAGTTTTTTCTTGTAAAAATCATATCACAATACACATTTTTTCATGTATATGAGTTCATATATGGTTTCTCAGTATATATGGTTTATCTTTGGGTAGATCCCAATTGGCCAAAGTGAAATATACATAAATTTTTGCTAAGTATAACCACATTCCTCTCTCCAAGGATTGTACCACTGTGCATGCCCACCAGCAAAATGTTGTTTCCCCAAGCATCTTATCTATCTTCAGAGTTTTTAATAGATTTGATTTTTTTCACTGCAGAGTTTTTCAAGATCTCTATGACACACAATCTGTTTCACTGTTGGCAAGTCACAATATGCTCAGGATAGATTTCAAACAGTTCTTTAACAAAAATGAATTTTTAGTGTCAAATAATTAATTTATGAAAACAAACACCACAAGGCATGCAGCCTGTATTTTGCTTTCAACAATGATGCAATGATATTGCAGGTCTTTTACTTTGCCTTCTGCCCTTGAGGAAATAATTCAGCCTCAAGGATTCAACCAAGGGCTCTACAGAACTTGAATCCAAGTTCAAGGCTCATCATCAACATGCAGTTGTGTTCTTCATTCATTTTTGCCACTTTGAATTAATTAATTCTCTCAAGTTATTCAGGCCTTATGGTTTTATTATTTTTGGTTCTCCTCTCTTTTACTTAATTATCATGATTTCTTACTTTTTTTTATTAAGTACAAAGTACTTAAAATCATGACTGGTATAGAGTAAATACCTTCCTGAGACATTATTCTTACAGAACATGGGAGAAACTGACTTTTAAAATTCCTGCACTACTATGCAGTGCAATGAATAAGTTAACCACTTCTTCAAACTTCAAACTTCAACCATCACTTACTTAATGATTGGTCTATAAAGTTAATGCTTACCTGGATCAAAATTATCACCAAATATTCTCTTGGCAGGAATCTTCAGGGCCATAGCAGGAAATTGCTTCTTCAACTAAAATTTTAAAAAGTAGTATCACATGAACTAATTTTTTAGGTCTTCTAGTAATACATACACTAAAACCCAAAACAACCTGATTTCAAATAAAATTCACCATAAGACACACTTAACTATATGATCATATTATGTGTAATATTAAATCATTCCAATAAAATACCACAGATTTACCATCCTATTTTGTCCCAATAAAACACATAGTATTTGTGTGACCTTGGATAAGTTACTCAACATCCATGTGCCTCAGTTTTCTTGTAAAAACTCAGCAGAGGAGATCTGTACAGTGATGGGTCTCCATGAGGTTTCATGACTTTATCAGCTGGTGATTAATTAGTTGGGGTATTAATATTTGAGGATCTTTAAGCAAAAAGATAAAGCTTACTTTGGATATCTTATTGCATGATTACTTTTATTCTCTTCTTCATGAAGCACCCATCCTTAAACTTTTTAATAGAAGAATTTTCTAAACTCCCAGTAAGCTACAACTCTACTAGACCAGGTTTAACCTGACCTCTATAGTTTCAAAGAACACAAATTATATCATTCTCCTAGTTTTTTCTTTGCCCCTCACCATAGAAGGCAGAATTAAAAGCAGTTATGTTAAAAAAGAGACAAAGAAAATGATGAAATAAGAAAAAAAAAACCCACTGGGCATGGTGGTGCCCATATGTAGTCCAGTGACTCAGGAGGTTGAGGCAGGAGGATCGTAAGTTCAAACCCAGCCTCAGAAACTCAGTGAGGCCCTGAGCAACTCTGTGAGACCCTAAATAAAATATGAAAAAGGGCTGGTAATATGGCTCGGTGGTTAAGCACCCCTAGGTTCAATCTCTGGTACACAAAAAGAAAAAACCAAAAAACAAAAGGGAAGAGGAATATAAGAGAAATGAGATGGATGATTAAAATCTGAAGTGTACTGTGTGTGTGAGATACTACTGTCATATTACTTTCACCAAAGAATAACTTAGCTATTTTAATGGGTACAGTGAGATTAATATAGATCTCAAAAAAATGCTATGTAGATAGCAGGTATACAAGAACTTTAGTGGGTATATTAACAGGTATTTTACGTCTCACAGTTCAGCCCTTGCCCAGGCTCCAATGTAAACCATATCTTAAAAAAACACTAAAAATTTACAAAGGATATCCCATATACAAACTCTATTGTTAAAAGAATATCAATATCCTTTGACTAAGCAATATTTGAAACTATATAGATATTTCAGTTGCACAGATATTAAAGAAAATACAGTAAAATGTATTTATGGATTTTTGCAGTACCAGGCATTGAACCCAGGGCCTCATGCATGCTACCTAAGTACTCTACTATGGAGCTACATCCCCAACCTGATGGCTGACTTTAAAGTTTAATGTAGTTTTACTTTCCTCTATTATATAGACTTGCTAGGATCATGTATTAATTTTGCATAGGAACAAATACCATTTAAAATTTTCAATATTATTAAGTTCAGTTTCAATTAGGATGTCATCTGAATGTTAGTTGGAACAAATACAAATACAGTGAAATGCTAAATGAGATAAAATCATAAGTCTTAATTTTCATTACTTAATGAATAATGGAAAGTTCTATAGATAGACACTGTTCTGGCCCATTTAGGAAATAATGTGTCTCTTAATGGAGATATGCTTATTTTCCCTCATTAAAAAAAAAATTCTTATGCTGGGCATGTAGCTCAGGGGTAGAGCACAAGCCTATCATGTGCAAGGCCCTAAGGTTCAATCCCTGGCTCTGAAAAATAAAAAAGAAAGAAAAAAAGAAAAGAAAAATGTCTAAAAAAAATCTTGTAACTAGTAACTTACATATTTATATGTCTCAGGAACCAGGGTTAAGAAATTTTAAAAATTATCATCCTATGTATATAATACAGAGGATGTCTAATAATTTTCCACTTATTAAACAACACTGGGAAACCTCATTATTATGAGGACATAAAGAACTGAAACTTGGAATTAGGTATAGTTGTATTTTTGGTTTTGTTTTTGATACTGGGGACTAAACCTATAAGTGCTTTACTCCTGAGCTACACCTCCAGCTAGCTTTCTTCCTTTCCCTTTCCCTTTCCTTTCCTTCCTTCCTTCCTTCCTTCCTTCCTTTCTTTCGACAGATTCTCCCTAAGTTTCTAAGGATCTTACTAAGTTGCCAAGGCTGGCCTCAAACTTGCTATCTTCCTGCCTTAGCCTTCAGAGTCTTCGGGCACCACTATGCTTGGCCACAATTACTTGACTGAAGCAAAGTTTGGAACTCACAGCTGCCCTAATCTGGAGATGAACTAAGGCATTCTTGTCCTCCACATAGATCTTTCAAGGCAACAACCCCCATTCACATCAGTACTTGGTGGTATTGAGCCTGATGAGTTACAATGATGCTGCTGTTTTGCTGTCTACTTTAGAAAGTTTGTACAACTTCAAACATTATTATTATGAATATTCTTTACTATCTGAATTATGAATATATAAAAATCAGGTTTTAGTTACTTAGGTAGTCAGTGGTCTCTTAGCTTTCACTATCAAAATACACTCTACTGCCATGTATATCTAAAAAGAACATATTTTTTAAAAACCCACTTAAAAAGAATCTCACCCACCAAGTATCTAAAAGAAAATTAATACTCATTTCAGTTGTTTTAGCTATTTAAAATCTGGAATCTAAAATGGCTAGGCATAGTTATATATGCCTGTAATCCTAGTAACTTGGGAAGCCGATGCAGGAGGATTATAAATTCAAGGCCAGCCCAGGTAACTTAGTGAGACCCTGACTCAAAATAATAAAAAGGGATGGGGGTAGGGGTACTGTGAATGTGTCTCAATAATAGAGTTTCTCCGGGTTCAATCCCTAGTACAGCAACAACAAATAAACAAAAAACTCTGGCTAGGCATGGTAGTGCACACCCGTAATTCCAGCAACTTGGGAGGCTGAGGAAGGAGGACTGCAAGTTCCAGGCCAGCCTCGGCAATTTAGTGAGATCCTCAGCAACTGGGCGCGAGACCTTGTTCAAATTAATAAATAAAAAATAACTGGGGACTTAGTGATATGGCTCCATGGCACTTCTGGGCTCAATCCACAATACAAAAAACCCAACCAACCAAAAAACAACAATACAAAAAACACAACAACCCTAGAACCTAAGACTTATCCCTAACTAAAAATAACATATGGAAAGAGGGTGGGCTCATGACAGACTTTCAGATCTAAAGCTTATAACTGGGCAATTACTCAGCAGAAATACTATGATGAGTAACAACTATTATTTGGTATGAAGGATTTTTCTAATAGTCTCTGACAGTAAAATATATATAAGCTATTCAACAGTTTATTTGGAATTGCTCAACAGTCCTCTCTGCACCCTTATTTGTAAGAATTCCTGTTAGGATGCTTTTTAAGAATCCCTTACCCTTTTCTGCTTTTCTGATACATGTTAGTATTAATTTATTCACTCCAATAAATCTTTAGGGGTTTTTCAAGGTGTTTTAAGTAGAATCTTGTAGACTATTACTTACAGTGTTGTAAAGTTTGTCAAACTCTGCATATCTCCTGAAGACAAACCATTCACTCCTCCCTACAGAGACCAGAACTTTATAAACCTGCAGATATAAAAATAACATTAATTTAAGAAATCTTAACTGCAAAAAGCCCCCATTAGTTAAGTTTGTAAAAATGTCTTTATACTTGCAAAACTGGTATTAAGATTAATGTTTACATATTATTCTCAAGCACATAAGCATACCAACAGAAATGTTAATCTTATCAAGAGGTGATTATTTTTTAATGTTATGAAATATTGCTGTAATTTTTAGAAAATAACATACAAATATTCATTATTTGAATCTACTGAATTCTGACATTTTGCCAGTCTTTCTTCAGGTTTTTCTCAAGAGTATAACATCATATGTACTGAATATTATAAAATTTATAAAGAATTTTCGAAAGTAATGCTAGAAATTATCAAGTACTTTCAAAAGTAATGCCTGGCACAGAGTAAACACTAAACTATTATTATTATTTTTTGCAGGCCATCTTTTATGCAGTACTCTTTAAATTAAGAGTTTGTACTCAGATTTTCTAATATCATCTTACATGGGCTTAACATTTTCATAATACATGATCCCATAACTATAATCAACAATCCTATGAAGTAATCAGAACAAAAATTATTAACCTCCACTACAGATGAGAAAGTGAGAGCCAACAAGTTAAATAACTTGCCCAAGTTCATAGTCTCAAATGAACAACATAAAACTCAAGATAAAAATCTAAACCTTCTATTCTCTATGTAACAGAACCAGTATCAAATCATCAATAGTTATAGAATGAACTCTCTTAATTCACCCATAGATGCTTTCAGAATATAATTCCACATATTCTGATGAATTATGAGAGAAGAGTTTAGGACCCCAAGGATTTTGTATAATTTCTAAAGGAAAAATAACAAGAATCCAGGTATATGATGAAAGGCTGGCTGATGTAGGACCTGGTTTATCAACTGTATTATTTTATAGTGATGACAAGAAATATAAGTTGCTTTTGAGGTTTACTATATTTCATATGGCTTGTTAGACAACCTAAAAGAGAAACTATCTCAGAAGACAAGAACACAAATGAATACAAACTCTCCTTTCCCATGAAAGATAGGTAACCTATAGGTAACTTGTGGAAGTTCACCTTAGATAATACTGTAAGAAAAGCAACAATCTGATATTTTATGTGATTATGTTATAGAAATTCTGTAGTATTATTAATATATAGACACATTCACAGGGCCACAGTTTCACTGAAGGACCCCAAAATATAAAGCCTTCTGTGAGGGGATACAGCATCAACTGGAAAGTGAAGTCAAGTCATTGGTATCAGTCACCTGGACAAGAGACATATATCACTCAGAGGGAAAGAAAAGCACTTGGGTACAACATCACTTACAGGTGATCCAGTTCTTAAATTATTAACTAACAGTATGGTTATAGACAAGTGTTTATTAAGTAAGTTCTAATAAAGGCACTGAATTGTCTTAGAGGGAGTTACTGGGTATAACATGTTAGAATTTGTTGTCAGGTAACACTCTCCCCATAGAAAGAGGACAGAAGTAAAGGGCAGAAGACCTAGTCAAGATGCCAGTGAAGCTAAGATCAGATTATGTGTGACACAGCACACAGGATCAGATAGGCCTGGGAAGAGCACTGCTATGGAAGGACAAAAACCTTAAGTTTATCTTAAATTCTTTTATTTTGGTACCGGGAATTGAACCCAGGGGTGCTTAATTGAACATGAGGTGTTAAATTAACCACTGAGCCACATCCCCAGCCCTTTTATTCTTTATTTTGAGACAGGGTCTCACTAAATTGCTGAGGCTGGACTTGAATCTGCAGTCTTCCTGCCTTAGCCTCCAGGTGACTGGAATTACAGGAATGTACCACCATATTCAGCAACTTCTTAAAAAAATTTTTTTTTTTTATGGTACTGGGGATTGAACTCAGGGGCACTCAACCACTGAGCCACATCCCCAGACCCTTCTTGTTTTTTTGTGGGGTACTGGGGATTGAATTCAGGGACACTCAACCACTAAGTCACATCCCCAGCTCTATTTTGTATTTTATTTAGAGACAGGGTCTGCTGAGGTTGGCTTTGAACTCGCAATCCTCCTGTCTCAGCCTTGCAAACCGCTGGGATTACAGGCGTGTGCCACCGCGCTTGGCCCAGGCTCTTAAATTCCTATGCTGATTTCCTGGTGAGGACAGTAGTCCCTAGAAATGTCAGGTGGCCTCCCCTGGCTCCCAGGTACAGCCAAGAACAGAACCACTCTTGGGTTACAGGCTGGAGTGGATCTGCAGCAAATATATTTACAGGAAATAAGGTCTTGTGAAATTATTAACTAACAGTATGGTTATAGACAAGTACTTATTAAGTAAGTTCTAATAAAATAACAAGCAAAAGACATTTAAAATTTAAAAAATACTTCTATTGGAAAAAAGCAGGATTTCACAGAAACAATACAATACTTATTGTAATACGAAGTTATTTTTATTTGAGTATTTACTTGGTCTGTCTTTCCTCACCAGAATTTAAGTTCTTGAGAGCTAGAACTGTGTTACCCATCGAATCTCTAGTGCCTTGAAGATTCCTGGCATAACACAGAATTCACCGAAAGTTTGTCAAGTGGATAAATGAAAATATAATGTAGACTTGGTTTAAGTCAAGACATACTAGAATGCAATGCATGAATCTATGAGAGTTACATAAAAGATGAGAAGAGTGTAAAAATATTATTGAATACTCAGTAACACAAGGTCTATTTTTGTTCTATAGGCATCTGGACTTGCTGAAGCTGAACAGAGAGTCTGTGTCGGATGAGGAGGGGTCTATCTGAGCTCATTAGAATCAAGTTTCTTGAGGACTGAGGACAGCACTATTGTGACCCAGGAACTAATACATGAACTTAGTACTATTTTCACCCAACAAATACTTACTAAACATCTACTATCTCTGTTATAGGGGATGGTAAAACAATAGTAAGGGAAGTTCTTGCTTCAAAGTACCTTGATTCTGGCAGGCAAAGAACATGTAAATAAATGCCAAAAGTCAGGTGATGATTACAGCTATTAAAGAGTTACTAATCAGGACAGAGTGAAAGGGTGTTTGGGGTGGGGTTTGAAGGTGCTATTTTATATTTTAAGAGGCCAGAAAAAGTCTCTGTAATGAGGCAACATTTGGGAATCTGAAGAAATAAATGAACATGGTGATTTGGACAAGGCTTCTGAGAACTCAGAGCACATGTGGGCACAGCTAGGTAAGAAAGTTGCTGAAGTCTTCCTTGACCGTTTCTCAGAAAAGATGAAAATACTTATACCCTGAAAAATCAAAGGACATCTGACACAACCTACAGCCCACACTTTCAATGTTATGAATTTCTGTCTAACTTGGCAGGAGGTAAAGTCCCTGAAGCAGAGAATAGCCCAAAGGTAAAAATAAGAAGAGGGAAGGAAAAAAACTTGCACACACTTCCCTACTTTACCCAAGGTTTATTAACCCTTGTTTACCTTCATTGTGATATTAGTAAAAATGTGTTTAAATCATGTGTAACAAATGCACACTGTTTAAGATACCACTGCAATATAGAGGCTGACAGCACACATGAAAAGAGGTAAATGGCCTCCAATCTCTCTGCTCTGGCCATTGATGCAGGAGGTGGGAGGTGTGTTTGTTTAGTAAAGAACAGAGAGCAGAGAGGCTGTTTCTTTTCTCCCTTTCTTGGAGAAAGCCACCATTTGGGAGCACCTAGCCCACACAGTTAAAAAGGCAGAGTGTAGTGTTCAGATGAAGGGTTTAGTTTAACTCTTCAGCTTTTCTCATCTCCCATGTGACATGCACTCTGAACTGAAAGTTTCTTGTCATGGGGCTCAACTGGCAGGGGTCAGGTGAAACCCTCATTGGAGGCTGGGAGGGACTACTGAGTCAAGAGCAGGAAAGAACATGTCACAGCCTTAGGAGGCTCTTTGGCTACTGAGAGCCAAAGCACTGAGTCAGTAGAGGCCCCTTTAGGACCCTGGCCAAGCCAAAAAAGGAGAGATCCCAAGTTAGTCCATCAATTGCAGATACCAGCAACAGAGCTGACAAAATGCCCAGGACTATATGATGTCGGCCACATCTGGATATGTGCTAAACCAGCCATTCCACAGCTAGAACAGCAAAGATCTACAGGGATAACCAGAATACAAGAGCCTTCTCTAGGTTACCATGAAATTAGTCATCTATTCAATCAATACTGTGAAAGGAGATACCCTCCTGCCCATAAGTCAAGATGACAACCTGGAGAAGTATGTCAAAATAAGAAAAAAGAGCAGAATTAACACAACCTGGGCATTTTTACCTAGATCAAAATAAGTGTTAAACAGATCTAAGTTGTTAAATTAATTTCTTAACACTACTCAGCAGAGGGGACTTTATACGACTAGATCACTTAGATAAGATAAATGACATTTTTTTTTTCAGAAGGGTAGGAGATATCTGTATATACTAACTGGACTACTGGAAATAAATACAATATTGTATGTTTCATTATGTTAATTTAAAAAGTGGTTATTCTCTATTGTATACTAACAACAGGAAATATTCATTGTGCTTATTCTTTATAAAGCTATATAACAGATACTACAGTATTAAAAAATAAAATCAGAAGTGGGTTTTGCTTTTAAGATGAAAAAAAGGACATCTGATACAACAATATTAAAAATAAAACAAAGCAATAAATGTCATAGTAAAGATACTACGGAAACTTCATGACAGAAATTCTTAACATGGATCAACAACACCTGACAGCATACATAAAATTATCAGTATGAAGAACAGTATGTATGCTCACATACGTTTTCTTTTCCTTGGTACTGAGAATTGAACTCAGGGGCACTTAACCACTGAGACATATCTCTAGCCTTCTTTTATATTTTATTTAGAGACAGGGTCTCACTTAGTTGCTTAGGGCCTTGCTAAATTGCTGAGGCTGGCTTTGAACTTGCAATCCTCCTGCCTCAGCCTCCCAAGCTGCTGGGATTGTAGGTGTACACCACCGCACTAGACCACACACATACATTTTCTGATAAAGAGGGTCTGAGATAGTTTTGTATCGTTCTCCAAGGAAATGGGAAAACAGGCAAAAATATGCATTAAAGAAGGAAGTTTTATTTTTGTTATAATAGCAGGGCAGACTCTGTGGAGGACACATCATTCAAAAGAAATAAAATCTGGATATTCAGAAATAGGGGAAAGAGAAACATTCTAGCTTAGGAAAGAACAAAAGCAGAAATGGAAATATTTTCTATGACAAAATTTTTCCCATATGCTGTATGTTACATACTTACAGTAAACCTCTTCTTTTTCTCTCTGTGTTCATCAGAGCTGGGAATGCTTACACTTGGGCAGTTTTCCTTGTAGTCCATGATATAATTTCTTTGCGTTTAAGTGACTCAAAAGGGCACCAAAAAAACCAAAAAATGAGTCCGAAGAAATAATCAACAGAGGATGAGCACAATTAACTAATCCAAAATATGAAAACTCTTGAAGTAATGTTCAAATTCCATCATGCAACCTTAACCGACAGGGGGGAAAAAAAAGAATTGATTAGCAAGATAACTTAAAAATATTATTAAGATTTGTCATTCCTTGTAAATAGGACCCATTTGATGTTTATTCTGGCAGAAATTTATAAATCTCAGCCCAGGTTAGAGATTTAGTTCCTGATGTGTTACTAGCACTAAACCACAATCAAGCATTTGTATCCTATTTGCCTTCCTTTCCATTGGAAATTCCAGGAGTCTATACGCTGCAGTTTGTGGACTAAAGTTTAATTCTCACGAAAGGAGTTCTGGTTGAATGATCAGAGCCTTGCCCTCCTGTCACAGTAGTCTACTGTGCTACTGGTTAATATTGAAGCACGTAGAGAAAGAGACTCCTCTACAGGTAGCAGAGATGAGAGGGGGAAGTGGTTATGAGCCGTCCTACAAACTATGACTTTCAGATTTTGTATCAGGTCAAACCAGTGATTTGACTGCTGAACAATTCAGATTACAATCCTGTTTGGTAGGTAACTATTTATTCCCATTTTACTAGTAAGAAAACAGCGTCACAAAGAGAATAAATAATTTGCACATCTAGAATTTTGACCCAGCCTGTTTGGCACCAGAGTCCCAACTCATAAACTGGATGAAGGGCTGTGGCTGTGGCTCAATGGTAGCACATTTGCCTGGTATGTGTGAAACACTGGGTTTGATTCTCAGCACCATGTATAAATAAATAAAGGTCTATGAACAACTAAAAAAAGTTTAACAAAAAAATTGGATGGAGCCAGAAGATGCACATCTATAATCCCAACAATTTGGGAGGTTGAGGCAAGAAGATCACAAGCTCAAGGCCAGTCTTGGCAACTGAGTGAGACCCTGTCTCAAAATAAAAAAAATTAAAATCAGTGGGGATGTGGCTCAGTGATAGAACACTCCTGAGTTCAATCCCCAGAACTGAGGGGGGGGGGGAATCCAACACTGTGGATGATTCTTATGCACTGAATTAGTGATCAGAGACATTGTAGTAGATCTTCACACAAAACAAATACAATATGCTAATATCATTCCACCCTTGAACAAAGGGCTTGATATGTCACACTAATGTCACCTTTGTTACACAGAGCAGACTATACTTTCCACTGACACCAAATAATATCTTTTAAATGGTCTGTATGCCTGGATAATTTCCCTAGATCAGTTTAATCTGAGGGTCCCATGACCTACCATAGCTCACTCTTTACCAGCAAGCAGCAAAAGGGAATCTGAGGGGGAAGATTATAAGCTACACTATCCACACATGTCCCTTGAGAATGTGGGATTTAGGGTCATAGGTCCCACTAGTACTTAATTTTATATGAATTTAAACATTTGTGCCTTTTGTGCTGTAACTCACAGCAGAATTACAGGAAAACATCAGGCCTCAGGCCTTCCCTTTGGAAGGGACAATAAGATACCACATTGAGTGGCATCAGGAATGAAGGATGGGGAAAGAGTTGAAAAAGCTGCTCCATACAAAGTGCCCAGAGGACATGTAAGATTACAGGTAGAGCAGGCAGTTAAATGTAGAAGCCTACATTCAAGGTACACACTCAAACCTGGCCAGAGTTTCCACTTTGTGCTATATCTATGTATACTCCATTTACTCTTCCATATCAAATCACCTATTTTTTTCCACCCTGCCACATCCCAGAAAGCTGACCTGTATGCGCTACAAAGAGAGGCCATCTACCTTCTGCCCTTGTCCTCTGGTTAGATTCAGTGCCTCACTATGAGGCACTAGCAGAACAGGGGCAGGAGCAGTGAGATGCTAAGGTTATTATCCCTTTGATCCATATTGGACAGCAAAAGGATTTCTCTATCTAAGGCCAAATTCTACCAGGCAGTCTCTTCTACCCCAGTTATAATTCAAGGACTAGGATTAATGATAGGCTCCTGATCTTGCTGGGAAAGAGGGACTTCAACCATACCTTGGTTGCCTTAACCCTACCCACAACACCTTAATAAACATTCCTTTGTTAGACACCCTTCATTACTTTTGCATATGCCTTGTAACTAATGCAGCTACCTGGTACCAACAATGGTCCTAGGAAACAGAACCTCAAAAGTGAGATATATATTTGATAAGTGTCCTGATAACCTTCTTAAGGAGGAAGGGGATAGCACACAGTGACATCATGACCATTTCAATTACTTCCTGTGCATGGTGTTACAAGATGGAGTGCAGGTGGAGGGCAGGGTGCTAGAAATCTGAGTGGCTCATGAAAAGGTTTACTTCAGAGATTGTAACATGGGCTAGGGCTGCTTCTGGCTGTTCTTGAGAATGTGCACAAAGCAAATGACAAGTTGAAAGCCATGAATTCCCAAATAGATAGATATCCATCTATGGATGTTTTAGAGAATCTATTATCTCTTAAAACTGCCAAGCTGATAGGACTAAGAATCAAGCCCAGAAGGATTACAAAAGCTAATTAAACTTGCAACACTGCAAAGTCTCATATGCTAACACAAGGGACACTGGCTGGAAAGCAGAATGATTCAGAAATATGGATTGAGACAGCTGGGAAGACACTAAAAAAACTGAACTCCAATTTAGCTCAAGTTCCCTGCTGAAAGCAGTTACCTGCATCCCTGAGGGTACTGAGACTACCAATGTACCCCATAAAATCCTTTGAGATTGTTTCACAAGAGGACTCCCATTCTCTTGACTACCTGCTCCTGCTATTCTTCACTGCCTCATAACCCAAAATAGCCCAGAAAGAAGTTCAAGTACTACTCTAAAAGAAGACTGCCTTTATACCAAAAAAAATCTGCAAAATCTCAATTTTTTACCAGTAAAAGACTGAGAAGCACAGATGGGAGTATATTCAAATAGCATTAGACCAAAGAAGATTAAACGTAAGATTGTGGCCCTTTACAAGGCCATAATCATATACTCTTGATCTTTCTCCTGGCCTTTCCAAAGAGTGATCTATAGCAATTCCAAAGGTTGACTGTCCAACTGAAGCAAGGGAAATCTATTATCCTTCCATAGGTTATAAGATGGGATATAACTCAGAACTGATACTAATGCCAAATGTGGCCCACCAGTCAGAGTGGGACTCCCAGAGATGAAGGTGGCCCTGATAACTCAAGTGGGTCCAATGAAACCATAAGCCTACCTTGTGTTTATTTTCCTAGTCCTATAAATTTTAGTGGAAATCAATATAATAGTAACTGGCCCAAATCCCCACAATGGCTCCCTGCCCTATGTCATAAATTTTATTACAGGAGAAAGGACCATGTAGAAACCTCTGACAAGCATCAAGAGAAGAATAAGAGTTGTAGACCCCCCAAGGGTTTGACAACAACTACTGTCAATTTGATTACAAGCTTAAAGCCCTTCGAACTATTTTCCTTGCTCCAACTAAAAAAATAACAAAAAATTATACACTATCACTCTGAGCTCAGAAATCAGTACCACCATCAAAAACTGGAAGGGTGTTAAATGCAAGGGTGTTAAATCCCACCATATTCCCATTTAACTAGCCTATTTACCAGAACCAAAGCCAGAAACATCCTAGAACATGACTATGGATTACCATAAATTTAATCAGGTAGTAATTCCAATTACAATTGCAATTCTAGATGTGTTATTTTGGGCTGAAGAAAATCAGCACAATCCCTGATATCTGAAATGAGACTCTTGCCCTGGCAAATCCATTCTTTTCTCACAACATCAGCAAGGACAATGAGTTAGTTTGCCACAAATACCTAATCCCTTTTGCTGTCTAACCTGAGGGTCAGGTGTGAATTGTCATAATAAAACAGTCTGGAGGGCTGTGACCTTTTTTAGATCACCACCCGGGTCTACCACATTATGGCATTGCCTTAATTGGACCTAAAGAACAAAAAGTACCAAGTACCCTGGACACTTGCATAAACACATAAACAAGAGAAGGGATGGAAGAAAAATACCATGGAAGTTCAGGAATCTCCGAATCAGTGGTTTTTAGGGTTCCACTGGTCTGAGGCAGAATGTCTAATCTCAAGTCAGAGAAACAGTTATACCTTGCACTGCTTAACTGAAAAACAGGAAAAACAACTGAATGCTTCCTATTTGGACAGGATGTTCTGACCCATCTACTGGAAAAACTATGAAGTTGTTAGTTTTTATTGAAGCCTGTTCAAAGAGAAGGTTCTGTAACAACGAAAACTGCTCTAACCATTGAGTCTCTGCCTTAGCACACCCAACAGTATGAGAAATGACCTAATAGACAGGGATTTGTTAAGGGGCCTGTGATAAGCATCAGGAGACTAAGGTCTAAAGATCTCTTAGGGTTTGCCAACAACTACTGTCCATTTGATTCCTGACTTGCTACTAGGCTCTGGTATAGATTAGATAGCTGGCTATGAAAAACCAAGAAACTGGGTAACAAGAACATTTATCATGAACAGAGCATTACTTGATTCTCCAAATCATAAAATTGGATATGCACAGAATTCTACTCAGTGTAGTAAAAGCAAGACCAGGTGTGAGCAGGTTTGGATGGCACATGTGAGCTGCAGAGATAAATGGCACAGACCTCCATGGTGGCAGAGTTAGGATTTGAACCTGGTAGTCTGACTTCAGGGTTCATTATACCAGACTGTTTCCACATGTATATGCTCTAGAGTCCTTTAGGGAAAAATGAAGATGGTTCAAAACTTACTTTTTCTGTGTATTTTGAGACAGATCTCACTATATTATCCAGGCTGGTCTTGAACTACTGGACTTAAGCTAACCTCCTGCCTCCATCTCTCAAGAAACTGGGACTATAAGCTACAGATACAACTTGCCCAGTTTTCATAAACTAACTTTTAAGTGGTTAAAAGTAAAATTATGAAAAATTAATCCTAATATTACTATGAATTTAATGCATAATTATTCTATGAAACTAAAGCAATTAAAATTATATGAAATCATCCTCTGGCCAAGCAGCCAAATAAAACAGAATGAGAAGGGGATTGACATAAAAAGATCACAAATGAGAAAGAAGTGGAACAAAAATAT